TGTTCCAGACCTCCTCGCGTCGTGAAAAAGTCATGCTGGTCGCACGGCGTCCCGGTGGGTGTCGGGAGGAATCGATGTCTCGATGTCTCGGTATCGGGGGCGGGGGGCGGGGACTCGATATCTCGATGTCTCGCTGTCGGGGGCGGGGTTGGGCGGGGACTCGATATCTCGATGTCTCGATCTCGGGGGCGGGGCTGGGCGGGGATCCGGTATCTTGATATCTCGTTGTCTCAATCTCGGGGGCGGGGTCGGGCGGGGCCTCGATACTTCGACATCTCGATATCTCGATATCGGGAAGCGGGGCCGGGCGGGGATTCGGTATCTCGATATGATATCCAGGGGCGGGGCTGGGCGGGGACTCGGTACCCCGACGTGTCGGATGGCAGTGTTTTTCTCGAGATCGTGGCCTAGCGATGTTCTTCATGTGTCCCTGTGTATGAAGATTCAGAGTTGCATCTCGATGTCGATGAAAGTATCAAAATCACGCAGGTTTGGTTTTACACGCCTCTCACCCCCGTCGCTCCCTGACAGCGCCCCGCCCCCCTCCCACGCATCATTCGCCTGGCCGGCCGTGGTCGTGAATGAGGAGGTGAGGAGAAAACCTCTCCTCTGTTCCTTTTTTCTCCAGTCTCCCTTGGTCGCTTAAAAAAGGAGCCCGCTCCCAAAAAGTCATCCGAGGCGTTTGGTAAGCGTCTTGGGTGGGCTTGAACATCTGGAGGTCAAGAGGAGGAGGAGGAGGAGGAGGAGGAGGAGGAGGAGGAAATGTTTTTCCCCCACCCGACAGGTTGGGGTTTTTAGAGTTAATGACCCGCTTTGCGTCCGAGTGGCCCGCCTCGTGTTCTCAACGAAATTTATGGCGTCACGCCGTCCAGAGGTCACGACGTCACGCCAGGATCGCTACATAACATAACACCACATCGAAACTCATAACATATCACAACGCCAGCAAGCATAACAGCCCTGAGTAGAAGACCGCGTGCTAAACTATACCTTATAATAACATACTAGAAAAGAGCACTCGAGCATCGCAGCACATACCGTATCATGCTACAACATATCACATGTCAAGATAACAGTATCTGTGATTCCGTACCAGTGCATGTCATGACATCATCTATAGTGTAGTAGAATGTAGTAGAAGATACGAACACATACCATAACAGGCCTTCACGCCAACTGGGCTATAGTCGACGATGTATGACCTAGCACAGTATGATTTAACGAAGCGGGGCGGAACATATCATGACACGATACCATTGCACACACTGGCATACATTCCATTGGAAGAGAAAAGAACAACACACACCACATTGTAATCTAGCAGAAGAGAGCAGATGATGATACCATACCAGTACATACTATTCTGAAGATACACAGAGCATGTATAAAAAGGGGGTGGCTGAACGTATTAGAACACATTGAGTACCGTGTGAACTTTCTGACAACTTGTAGTAGAACACGCACGCAGTAGTATACCGCAGCGCAGCATAACATAACACATCACACATCAACAGGACAGCATATGCTATACCATCACATAAGAAAGCGTAACGCGTCGTAGTGTATGTGAGTGTATTAAAGTCGAGCAGGGGCGACCATGGCATGGAACACCATGGCATACATGCATGTAGCGTGCTAAAACTGAGTGCAGTATAAGGTAGCACAGCATGTCGGAAACATGTTTTAGTCGAGTAGAGCCGGGCATGCTGTACTTGAATGGAGCAGTGCAGATCAGACATGATCTTATCACACAGTATCATACCACAACTTCGCATACTCGAGTATACTTCAATCCAATGAGGCACTACGTAGCATGACCGATGGTACATCACATGACATAACTTGGCGGAGGAGAATATACCGTACCATATCATGCCCGACTAGTGCACCGTAGACAAGTATATGTTCAGGTCATAACGTAGTAGTATGGCAGAACGCATGGTCTCACAACAGAACATGTTAGATTCGAACATATCATATTCACAAGACTACAATGTAAGATCATCGTTTTTTCTGTCACCATTTTATCTGGCCGCATGCTCTCCGCTTCCTTTGCCACTTGTTGCGCGCATCTCTTCAGTAGGCGCGCGCACCGTTGGGGACACGCGCCGAAAGTTGCGGCGGAGATCGCTCGAAGCAAAATGATAATCGATGTCGTGGCCTAGCTGCATGCTGCCGAGTTGTAAATGTATCTGGATATCGAGGTACTTTGGAGGATCTCGGGTCAAAGATGTACGCTCTTCATCCCGTCGCTACCTGACAGAGCCCCTCCCCCTCATCCCCTGCCTGGGTGGCCTTTGTATTGGAAGAGGCCTGTACGAGAAGGCCTCCCCTCTCCTCACCTTTCTTCCTGTCTCCCCCGTCGCCGGGAAAATGCACCCGCCCGAAAGCAGTTAACCGCTGCGTTTGGTGACTGTTTTGGGCGGGCCTGAGTTTTTGGAGGACAGGAAGATGACGGCGACGAGCGCTGCTCTTGGGAGGGCGGCGAAGTGAACCTGCGATGTCCGATAGCTGGGCTCGACGTCTCGAGATCTCAATTCGTTTCTCCACT